AATTCTTGGTGTGGGCTAGGCCTGTGTGTACGAGCTATAAGGCAGAGTGGGTTTCATACGGTTCTTTAAACCCGAAATGTTTGATTTAGGGCTAGTTGTGACGTTATATTTTTGTATTGTTTTGTATTATATGTTTGGTTATCTTTTCCAATTTTTCTGTATCATGAAATGCGATAAATGGCACTTTAACATTTTAAATAGACTTTTTTTAATGTTAGATAATATTTAAAAAAAAATTAATGTATTCTTCTCAAATTAGTGTTAATAAATAGCAAATTCTCAAGTGTGAAATTGTCAAAAAGTGTGTTCAGTAGATTGTTGTATTCACCTTTTTTAACACATTGTAACTTGAATGTGTCGAGACTCCCTGTCCAGTTATTTTAGCTGTACAAAAATAGGTTACTTCTACATTGAAAAATTAGGTGGAAATGTCTAGACAGAAACTGACAACATAAAAAAAAAAATCCTTTTACAAACCCAGGGTATGCTTGCTTATTAATACTGTTTGGCGATGCACTTGCTGCAGAGTTTGTCCGGTCTCATGAAACATTTCCCATTCAGCCTTAAATTCACAGCTTAATCCAGTAGCCTACACTCTGGGCTCCATAATAAAACATACAGTCAGCTTCCAGGCTTGCCCTTAATGTTATGCCATGGCTGACATTAAAATGGACACATTTGATATCTCTAGCTTGTTTGATTACCATGGGAACCAGCAAATTCAGACTAGCCCCAAAACAACCACAGGCTGATGAAGACAAATGTGCAAACCCAGGTTGGCAGAATTGCTTTCTCAGTGAGTGTGATCGGCCACGCTCGAGAAGGCGGAACCAAGAGTTGTGATTTATCGTTTCGTGTTGTCCCTAGACCACCACTGTCTGCTGCCTCTCCATGCCTTAATTACCCCAACCGTGTTTATTAGAATAGTCACACTACCTATAATACATCATCGGCGCTGAGGGGAGCGGGACAGGAGATAGCACTTCTCTGTGTGGTCTTCATATGCAAGCAGAGCAGCTATTTTGCTAGCGTAACTAAAGTAGCTACATGAAGTATCAGGCAGTAAAGGTAACGCGTATGTTGTGTAACTTAACTGGTAGAGCGTAGAACTAGCAAGGGCATGAGTTCACTTCAAGGAACACATACAGACAAAACTGAACTGTAAGTTGAAAAAAATGTATTGGTCTATTGATGATAATTAGACCCCCCCCCCCCCCCCCCCCCCCCAACAAATTTCAGAAAAAATATATATATATTTTATCCATTATAGGAAGGCATAAATCTCTCTCTCTCTCTCTCTCTCTCTCTCTCTCTCTCTCTCTCTCTCTCTCTCTCTCTCTCTCTCTCTCTCTCTCTCTCTATATATATATATATATATATATATATATATATATATATATATATATATATATATATGAGGTGACACAAATGTTACTCTGTATAAACGGAAACTAATAGTCATTTTAGTGAGAAAGTTTTTTTAAAAATTTTTTTTTACCTTTTTGATGTTAAATATCCTCAGTAATAAGAATGAACCATAAAGTAGACCTTAGTTAAACATTTAACAGTCCAAAGGAGGGGGTGAGATACTGGCAATTAAACCGTGTGAATTTTAACAGCATTATTTTAACATTATGGATTTTACATTTTAGCACGCTGTAACAATAGCCATATGTCACTGACAGGATAATCCATATGTCAATCCATAAATCAACGCTATCTCATCTACTCAAATTGCCACAAATTATCTGCTTAATGTCACTAATGATGGAGGTGAACTTTTATATGCAAGTATCAAAATCTGAACTGCAGCTTATGTAGTTTTTAAAAGAAATGATTTGTCACATATTTTGTAGTCAACAGATGTCTCACATAAAGCTAGTTAACATTTAAAAAGTAGGGTTCAAATAGACAGATCTCTCCTTGCCATATAAATGCTAATTAGTGCTACGAATGCTAAGAAGCCATACCATTAACATACATACTAGCGCCCTCTACTGTTCATGTTTTGGTAGTGACATAAAAACAGCTTTACTGGTTGAATAAACCAGAAAGACAAGCCTCTTGACTAAGCATGGTAAATCTCTTAAAACCTATTTTACATCCTGCTATTTCTAATAGCTTGCTGTAGTTTTGCTGTAAAATCCCCCACAAAACGGCAATTAATTACCATCACAGTGTTTCTTTGAAGCTGTTGAATTACAAAGCATCTCTATTTTCTTTTCCCTTATGCAAGGAGTGTGATACCAATACACTATAAAAGTATGGGTAAAGTATAGCAAAAGGTCCCGTCACCGGAAATGGCGTTTTTTGTCAAGATGCACCTTCCATTTAGTTTTAATTATCTAGCCAGAGGTCACTGATGTTGTTGGTGTCTAGTTGACACTAATTGGCCTAGGGTGAAGAGAGCTTTCATTATGCGACAGACAGCAAAGGGGTCAGGCGATGAGGTGGGTCGTGGCAAACGGAGACAAGGACGAAAATAACGATGGGGAGCAAACCGTGCTGATAATATGTGTGGAGACAGTGGCATGAGCTGCCGAGTAAATAGGGCTGTGTACACACAGAGAGTGGAGCTCATTAAAGACAGGCCGATGCAGCGTCTTGGCTGAAGTTGCCTTATTGATTGCTATGGTTTATTTAAGTTAGGACGAGTGGTTGGATTATTTAGAGGATATGAAGGAAGTTTCTTGGAAATGGAGGTATTGATTTTGTCCAAGGAAATCAGGGTACATGAATAGGTGCCACCAGAGCAGAAAGGAAGAGCTGGGGTTTCTTTTAAAGACAGAGAGACGGTTCTCAGCTCTTTTTGATTGCAAGTCCTTCCATTTCAAGTATGTCAACAAACATATTTTCAGTAACCAATTACTTCCATCAATTTTAATTTATTGGAGTGTCTGAATTTAATTTTAAATAAAGGGTCCTTTAGTAATATTATTTTTTCAATAAAAATGTTTTTTTTTTTTTTAAATACATTTAGAATTGGTTATTAAAATGATTTTCAAAAAGGCCTATATAATGACACTTATATATATATATATATATATATATATATATATATATATATATATATAATAGATTCAAGTTGCTGGAAACATTCCTCAGAGATTTTGGTCCATTTGAACATAAGAGCATCACACAGTTGCTGATTTGTCGGCTGCGGATTCATGAATCTACTGCTCCACCACATCCCTAAAGTGCTCTATTGGACTGAGATCTGGAGACTGTGAAGGCCATTTGAGTGTAGTGAACTCACTGTCATGTTCAAGAAAACCAGTTTGAGATGATTTGAGCTTTATGACATGCCGCGTTATCCTGCTGGAAGAAGCCATCAGAAGATGACTACACTGTGGTCATAAGGGGATGGATATGGTCAGCGACAATACTCAGGTTGTGGCGTATAAACGATGCTCAGTTGGTAAACCCTAGAGATGGTTGTGTGTGAAGATCAGCGGCTTCTGAAATACGTCTGGTACCAAAAACCATGCTATGTTAAAAAGTCAAATCCACTTAAATCACCTTTCTTCCCCATTCTGATGCTCAGTTTGAACTTCAGCAGATCGTCTTGACCATGTCCGAGTTGCTGCCATGTGATTGGCTGATAAGATATTTGCGTCAATGGGTGGACTTAATAAAGTGGCCGGTGAGTATACTGTATATAAATAAATATTCTTTATATAAGAAATAACACACATTTTATATATATATATATATATATATATATATATGTGTGTGTGTGTGTGTGTGTGTGTGTGAGATAATAAAAATATCTTAGTCTAAGATCTTAATCCTTTTTTTTTTTTTTTCAGTAAAACAAATAATATAAAACAATTTCCCAGTTTATAAATGGCTGGATAACTGCAATGCTGTACCGTAGCAATGAGCATTGAGCTAAAACTAAAGAGTTTGAGATTTCTTTGGATAGTGTGAATATCTTGTGTCATTCTAGTCACGGATTATTTGTGTGTTTTCATCCATCTTAATGAAATGTGTGCAGTCCAGCTGAAGTCAGCTATGCTCAGTTCACCACGTACCTCGCAGGCTCACAGACTCATCATTCCTGTGAAGGACTAACTTCTCTTGGCAGTCCTACAGCATATCAACAAACACCTTGATATTTGCTAAGAACAAACATTTTAAGCTTATGGAATACATCGTGTAGTTATTTGGATTCACATTAAGTTCTCTGTGTTGGACTTTTCTTTTCTTACTGCTGTTTTTTTTTTTAATCATAGGTTTTAACTTTTAAAAAGGATTATTTTAAACTCAAATAACTTGTGCAGCAAGTAGAGTATACAGACTGGCAATTATGCTTCAAATAATTAATTTTTCCTAAGTTTTCTCCAGAAACATATTTTATCCATTATAAGGCATATAGAAATCTCACATAAATATGTTGTCAATATATAGATATCTTATCAATATCGATATATAAATATCTTGAAATTGCCTTTATGTCCCTTGAATGACAGTTTTGCTCCATCTGTTATTGAAGTAAGTGGTAAATAAAAATGGTAACTTGTTAAAGTTACAGTGTACATGTATCTTGTTAGTTGGTTAATTCTCACTTGATCTCCAGGAGTTGCACGCCTTCACTTCCAGCTGCAATGTTAACATATCATGATTTCAGCATCACATTCAGCGTTCACTCACAAGAAGAAAATAAGGTTATACAGGTCATACAGGTTTAGAATAACATGAGGTTGAGTAATGATGACAGAATTAGAAAAAAATGTATGAACCTAAGCATCTATGCATTTGGCCAATGCACTTAGTACACTGTAAATTATATAAGTATAATTCATAGTTCATCTTGTGCCAATTTTGAACAGGTTTTATGTGTAAACATATTGTGTAATCTACTGAAAAATGTGAAGCATAAACAGACCTAGTTAGTCATCAGTTGTATCAAAATATTTTTTTTATTAATTCATTACAATGAGTACAAAATATTATATATAAAAATGTAAGTACTTTTTTTAGAAACACTAGGCCTAGTTTATTGTGCCAGTGAATGTTATTCTGAATTCAGGTGATTCTGGTACTTCAGTGATGGAAGGACAATATCCGACTCTCAGAGATCCTCAAAGAGGCTTCCTCTTAAAACCAAACACTACAACAAAGAGGATCATCTCATATAGTGCAGGAATCACACTAAAACATAGAGAGGAACATGATTACAAAATGTTTTCAAAGAAAATTCATTAATAAGTCACAGTTATGCATTGTCAGTTAATTATTTACCGACTGACCTACAGAAGCCAAAGATCCACCAGTAGATGGTGCAGGTCCATTGCTCAAACAAGAAGAAGGCCAAAGCCACAGACCCACTGGCGTGACATCCAATAGCTGCAAAGTGATAGTTAAGTGAAATTCTGTACCAGTATGAGAGCAATATCATTTACAACTAAAAATGATTAATTGGTATCATTGCAAATGTCATTTTACCAGTGGCATAATCAAACACGAACATCTCATTGTTTTGAAATGTACTGTCTGCATTAGTTTTTGGACTGCTCTAGGATAATAAAAGTAAAGCTATCCATCTCAAGAGGACAACTAAACCTGCTTTGCTGTGTCATAACATCTACGTGTAGAGCCTGCTGATGATGTGCTACTGGTAAGGATACACAGAAGGGCTTGATTATTGTTGAACATAGAGACTCCACAGAGGAACCCAACCAGCTCGATGGCAAACAGGCCCAGGGTTACGGATAATGCCACCACAAGCCTGCTCTCCAAAATAAATGATTAGGAAGATCAATGAGCATTTTTACTACAGTACATATTATGAAGTAAATAACATGACGATCATTTTTTGTTCAGAGATAACTTAATATATATATATATATATATATATATATATATATATATATTACAGTTCAAAGGTTGGGGAAATTATTTTAAGAATTTAAGAAATTAAAATGTTTATTCAGCAAGGCTGCATTAAATTGATCAAAGTGACAGTAAAATAGTTTTATATTGTTACAAAAGAAAAACTATTTCAATACTGATCTTTTGAAGTTTCTATTTTTTAAAAAAGTATCACGGTTTCCACAAAAAATTCAGCAGCACAATTATTTTCAATATTGATAATAATAAGAAATGTTTCCTGAGCATCAAATCAGTATATTAGAATGATCTCTGAAGGATCATGGGACTGAAGACTGGAGTAATGATGCTGAAAATTCAGCTTTGCTTCACAGGAGTAAATTTAATTACAAAAAATATATTACAGCAGAAAACAGCTAAATTGTTTCAATTGTAATAATATTTCACAATATTACTGTATTTTGATCAAATAAATGCAACCTTGGTGATCATAAGAAACTGTGTGAATGTCTAACTAAAAAACTGAAATTATTGAAAAAAAGAAATGTCTGCATGGCACAATTCATTATATCTTTTTTTTTTTTTTAAAGGATAGAGCAATTAAAAAAAGGGTTCAACTAGATTTGTACTTTTTATCATCATATTCATTTAATTTGTCATTGGCCCACACACTTTGATGAAGCAATACTGTACATAACCGAGACAGTTGTCCTTACCGTGTGTCCTCTAACCTGTATTCTTCATTAGTGTAGTCTAGTGGGAGGCAAGCTCTGACACTGTTCTCCTGTGGAATAGTTCAACTCTTTATCACAGGCCTGATTGCAATGATATACTCTGATCAAATAATGATTAAACACACGAGAAGTTCTTAACGTTACCCGCGACCAGAATATGATGATGACTATTACAAGGTGCGCGATGAGAGTCAGGAAACGGGCTGGAACCAGACTGCTTAACACCGACATTGAACTAACGTTAGACAGAAGAATACGACATCATGTGAGATTAAACTAAAAATGAACACTTAAAGGCTTATTCGTCTTGTAAACTAGCGATTTACAGAAAACGTGTGACTTCTAACCGCGGATATACGCACCTGTTTCTAAGGTGTTAACACTAGCTAAGATAGTTCAGTTGGTGAGCAAAAAGTAAACGGTCGACAAAGTAGAACCTGAATATAACGCTTCTAGGCATCTATTATACTGAATTACAAAAGCTGTGGACGGTTCTCTTTCGCACAAGCTTCAGGTTGCTACGACAACACTCTTGTTCTTGTTTATTAGCGGGTTGGCAAACCAGCTTTTTGGGTGCATTACCGCCACCAACTGAACCGGAGTGTGGTACAGCAATGCGGAAGAACTACCCTGACAAAAAAAATAATAAAAAATAAAAATATATAAATGAAATAATTACTTATTCGATTACTTATTTCTATTCTCTTATATGATCTTGTTGCGTTTATATATTGTAACCTCATCTTTCATCTTACATTTTATTGCCTTTAATGACGTCTAGCTTTTTTCTGCAAAACTCGTCTTTCATTTTCATACTCTGTACAATATAATATAACATGTTCAACTGCCTCTTCTACATTACAATAACTGCACAAACCATTATGATGCTTTTTTATAAATGTCTTCCCACATTTCCTTCCATATATTATTTGTAGCGTTTCTTGGTTTCAGATTTGCTGGATTTTCTCATGAGAACTGTGATTTCAACATTATTGCATTTTAATTAGTTTTTTGTTTATCCACTACCTCATGTGCAGGAATCCAAAACACTCTTCTTCTATTTGGCTAATACCGGTATGTACTTCAGAGCCCTCTCTGGTGTACTTATGTACTGAAATAAAAAAATCTAACAGAATTATGCTGCCACCTATTGGCAGGATTCGCTCTCTGACTGTGGTTTTCAACGGGGTCCTTAGTAAACTTTCAAAGGGGACAAAAATGTCTTAAAATGATTTAAAATAAATTACATTTAGATAAAAAAAAAATCATATCAAATTTTGAATATGCATAATTTTTTAAGCTTGAGAAAATTCTGGCATAGTACATGCACTGCTGAGATCTTTTTCACGGCAACATAAAATTCTGGCAAAGAAAACTATTTAAATGTGTTCCCCCAACAACCATCAGTGAACAGGTGGCATTGGAAAATTCTTAAAATGAATCATGATTTGGTAGGCTTTATTTACAGACCTATTTTCTGGAAGGCGTAATAAAAACATCTGTTTGAATTCTGTCAGAATTTTTGCCAGAAATACAAGATAGAATGCATTCACTGCTATATCTGTTGGGATCCAAAAATCAACTTTGACAATGGAGACAATGGGGAGTTATAAAAATGTAGATATATATGCTAGCTCTAATGCAAATGCAAGATATTTAGATTATGGTGGGAAATACTTTTGCCATTTGGGCTTCAGGTTATATAAATTACAAGAATAGGCAAACACACCTTATTGCCAATTTAATTACTTGCATTATTGTATCTTCGTTGTTGCATCCGTTTTCCTTCTTGGACAGTGCTTTTTTGGGTACCTGAAGTGTCAAGAGGAGCACAAAGTGAGCCGTGTACGACCAAAAATGTTTTATTATACAGACATATTTATTATACTGAATACTGATCATATTTTGTATCGTTCTGTCTAGGAGCAGATCACTGAAGGGGCTGGTCTGTGTGTCTACAACAGGCTACTATTGGAGCAGAGGAAGCCAACTGAAATATCGCGAGATTAACATCCCCACTCGCTGCTGTAAGATGGAGAAGTTATGTTGAGGCGCAATCGAGGTAAGAGCTTAAATAAGTCTTTGTCTGTTTGGTGGAGACGTCTGTGGCTGACTCTACATGACCGTTAAGAGTAACCGACGGATTTGCTTGCGAGCTGTACGTGTATACTGTCATTAAAATGAGTGTTTTTGATGCAAAGACCGGACACTTTGCTAATATAAACCGCCATTTTTAATTTGCGGTCGGACTAGCATTGTGGTGTGTTGAATGCTCGCGCGATGTGCGCGCGCATAGATAGACTGAAAACTGTTTACACTCAGTAGGAAGAATCGCTCAAATTAAATTTGATACTTGTGCGTGAGTGTAAATGATGTGAAATTGGCGAGTAATGTCATATATGAGTCTATCAGTGGATCACGACGAAAAGAGCATGCGTATGTGATAGCGTGTGCTTATGTGATAAATGAGATGTACAATTTAAAATTGTAACGTTAGTAGGATTTCTGTATTTCAATCTTAAAGGCCTCAAAATTAGGCTTCAAAACATCCTGTTCTCTGTATATGGATGTTCATACCCAATTATTTGTCGAGTCGTCAAGTGCAGCAACAGTCTTGACACCTAAATTCCTCTGGTATGGCCTTTAGGGGGTTACATTTCGCAATTTTGGGTTTAAGTTATGTGGGCCCATTATAATACACATTTCCTTCAGAAGAATTCACTGTTTATATCCCCCAGACATCTGTTTTATATGACCTACTATAGAGTTTACAGCTGATGGATAACATGGGTCAGTATAACCAAACTGAACCTGACTGATGTTGTAAAGTGACTCCACTCCCCTAACAGTAACCCCCCCTTATTGGTTTTGTTTTGTTTTATTTTTTTATTATTATCTAAAATGATGCTGATGACTGGAATGAAGAAATGAAACATGCCAAACTACAGTAAACAGAGTATGGCATCTGTGTCCAGTGAATGAGAAAATTATTTAAATCGAATTCTAATCATACTATAAGTGTAATGTATTTCTTTTCCAGCTAGTTAAGTTAATCAATATTAGAATCAATAAAATCCATATTTGGGAAATCTATATTTTATATAATATATTGACATATCTCTTAATGTAGTGCATGAACAAAAATATTTCCAGACTGCTTGAATGATTGCAAAATACATTAACTTTTCTTTTAGGCTGATAAATGCATTCCAATTATATCTGAGCTTAAACCTTCCATATCTATAGCTCCTATGTATTATTTCAGATACATGTATTTTTAACCTAATAAAGTAGACTTCAACATCATGTGTGACACGCTACGTTCGCCACAAATGCAGCTACGCACAAGTGCAGCAGTAAAAAGTGAGAAATTGAGCCGTCCACTGGAAGTCAGTGTTATGGTAGGCCCGAGTGGGAATGATTCAGCGAGATATTCTGCGTTTCTCAGCTAACCAACCACACCAGCGCATGCACGAGCATCTCATCCGCCGCCACCACCGCGCGCGCTTCACCGGCCACAGTTCATCGAGACGAAGCGCTTGCTGAAAATGTCTGACAATATACGCTATGGTACGGCTGTGGAAGCGCTGTGACAGACGCTGTTTTTGTGAGCTGGATATTTGAGGGGAGTGAGCGGGTTTGCCGGAGCAGGCCAGGCTGAGCCAGGCTCTAGATTAGACCAGAGCATGTGTGCAGCCCGGAGGAAAAATATTGACCTGTGTAGCTTCGCTCCTGACGTATTCCGCTACACTCGAGCCCTATATTAAATGTTTGGCGAATGTTTGTAGGAAAAAAATGGCTATGGTAAAGATTTAAAGAGTGAGTTGAAGATTGCGGGTTTGTGTTGACATGTTGAGGGGAAATATGTGCTGCTTAGAGCTCTGTAGCTCGCGAGGTCGAAATCAAAGATGTCGCGCGAGCGGCTAACGGTCAAATTTCCTTTCAGTTCGCGTCCGGTAATTTTGTTACCGTTTATTCAAAAACCGGCGATGATCATGTTTTATCTGCGCCATTAAATAAGAATGACGTGACCACGTTTATCCGCAAAACTTAGCTTGCTGACTGAGGTAGCTTGTTAGCAAGGAAAAACTAGATAGCATGTTAGCTGCTGCCCTTTTCCTCAAATTGATCTCCGTTTGCTGGCTTGTTTTCGTTAGAAATAGCCTAGTTAGTGAAATAATATGTCGGGTTATTGTTTTATTTCCACAGTGGCTGTGTTACTTTCACTTGTTCATACAATTTGTTTGTTTACGGTGTTGTACTTTCGTTTATGGGCTCCGGTTAGTAATGTCATTGTAATTTGATGTATTCGGTAACTAGCTGCTGAGTTGCTCGCTCCCACGTCTACAACACCATTTGGTTCTCTGACAAGAACTTAATTATTGTGTTTCTATAGTAATTACATTTACGGTTAAATAGCATAGCTAGGTAACGTTAAAGTTTTGTGTAATGTGTTGGGTTATTTTTCCATGTCAGGTTTCTTGATCACAGGCCAGTGCTTCTCTTTGGCCGGGTTCAAGGTCCTAAATCAGTTTTGTTTCTCAGAAGGAGTGCACAAGTTACTAAAAAACGCTACATTAACATCCTTTTGTTTCAGGAGCAAATCGAATATTTGAATTCATTAAGGGCATGTTTGTAAGATGCTAGAGATTGTCTGTGCCCAGAATATATGCCCTATATCTGAACCAATGTGGGTTGCTTTTCCCATGGCTTGTTCTCAGACTTTTGTTAACTTTCTGCCAGCCCTAATTTAGTTTTTATTCTACAGCTAATTAGTATAGGATAGTTTTTGACCATGTAGAATAATTATTTTTGATATACTTTAAATTACCTCTTAAGCTGTAGTGTAGAGGTTTTGTGCCTTTATTGTGCTTTTGGCAGCAAGATCACAAACATTCTTATGTTCATCCTAATGACTGTTTCACTTTCATCTTTTTTTTTTTTTTTTACTATAGGTTTTTGCACATGAAAAATGCCGTTAAGTTGGAATTGCCAAATCATATACCGTAAGTTCTTTTACATTTTCTGAGTATGAAGGGTTATCTCCATAAATATAATTTGGATGAATGTTTACATTGATACTTTGGCACTTAATCCTACATTTGGATCTGATTATTTATGAATATGTAATTGTTCTTGTATGACTCAAAAATACACCTCATAAGGGCTTTTCATACTGCACTTAACCCTGGGTTGTTGTCATTATAAACCACTTTTTAAGCCCCAGGTAAAGAAACATTTCACACTTAACACGGTTTTGGGGTGTCAACCCCACATTACATTGCTAAACTTGTACAGTGTGAAACGATGTGGTGTTAGAATGTTACAGCTAGAAGCTAGGCAACAGACACTTAGTTGTGTGCCTCGTATTCACATGCTTTAGACAGTTACAGAAACACTGAGTGTTGTAGGAATAGTAGTTTGGCGGAAAAAGTTTGACGGAAAATACGTAAAGAAGAGCTATTTTTACATTTATAGTTTGAAAAGTCTATTCAGGAAAAACTTG